TGACGGAGGACACTGTCGGTGCAGTCCTAGGGTCTGCGAGAGGCGGACTGTCAAACCCATCAGACTCCAAGCAACTCCGGCGTTCATGTTATTTGATATGACGTTTCCAAGGATAAGAAGGGTCTGTATGTTTTCGATGGTCGCATGCGATAAGAAATTAGTGAACCGCAGGCACTCGAAGCTGCAGCACACGTAGACCTGCGATGTCAACTCCCTCTCCTTTCGTGACAGGCTCGAGCATTGACATCCTGAAGCTAGTATAGCAAAGACCATGCCTATCCAATGAAAGTCTTTCCCATATATTTGCTGATCCGTGATGCCGTTCGTACCCTGTGAGCTGGCGCGGTTTATCAGGAAGAGCAGAAGATCAGATTCGATGGCCTCGATGTCGGCAACGGCGGGGTATACGGCGTGCGCGGTTTCGCGATAGCTGCGGAAGAAACTCAGGCATTCAGAGTCGCTCGGTAATGCGTTGGCAAGCTCGTGGGCGCGCGCTATGGATCCGTGTGGTAGCCCCCAAAGGTCGACGAAGGGGTACGTAGCGCTCTCGTTGTCCAGGCCAAATATCGGCAGCATGCTCTTCTTGCCCAGGAGATCTTGCACGCCCGGCGCCCATTGTGTATCTCCCCTCCCTAACGCCATGACGAGTGCTGGTACTGAGCTGGGTCCGATGTGTATCGTTTGGCCGGTGATGTCGTTGCGCGTGTGTATTCCTTGGGTTCTGACGTGGCTCTGCTCGCCGTCCATAGGGGCCGCTGCGGCCAAAGGCGTGTTTCCAGATCCATCAGCAGGAGAGAAGCCGTTCATGGGTGGTGGTATCTCCGCAACGCTGCCGACGGCATGCTTCAAATCACTGAGCGACTTCTCAGCTTGCTGCAATTTCCCGCAGATGCGTTCCCAGTCCTGCTACGGTCAGTATACAGCCATCCTCCCTGTCATATGTGTGCGCACCTCTCGGGGCAGCGTGACTGTGCCGCCATGTATGTGAACCAGGCCATTGGAGAAGTCATGGCCGTTGTTCTGTCCAAGTCCGAGGTTGATTCGTTTCGCGGGCGGGTGCGACTCGCTCGGCGGGTGGTAGGTACATAGCTCGGGATGTTCGCGGACGACGCATGTCTTGCAGGGGACGTTCTGGTCGCACTTGACCTTGCGCTGTCGACACGGATAGCAGGCCTGTAGGGGAGTAGAGCGTCAGCGCATGTTCGTGGGGCAGTAGCTCCTGCCGTGCTGGATGCGCCGGGTCCTGTAGCCCAATTCGGCAATGCAGAGAGGCCTCTCTTCACACCTGCCCATACTAATGCCCCTCGACCCCAAAAGCCTCCTCTTTTCCATCGCTGCATCGATAGCGCTTCATCTCAACGGCGTACCTTGTACTCTCGCGCCTTCCGCTTCCGTCTCAGGATCTCATCGACGTCGGCTCTTGGCGGCGTGTCTTGCATAAACCCATTTGGCGCGTTGGAGTTGTGCGTGTCCTTGAGCTCGTCCATGGTCGAAGCTCGGGGGAAAGTCGTCAGAGGTCTGTCTGGGCCGGATAGTCGCGCTGGTGGAGTGTCGACTTCGGTCGGCCTTTCCGCTCGCTGGAGCCCCACTCCTGGGCAAGGATGCCGATCGCCTGTGACCCCGGCTAGTCACGCGTCTAGGAAGCTTGACATTCCCGGCCAACGATGGAAATAATTTCCTCTGCCCATCGCATCCACTTCTTTCGACCCAGCCGGGGCCTGCAATTATGCCATGACATCACCGTTGCGAGGTCTCGCCTTCATGTCATTGTCAATGAGCTCGCTCACTCGAAATTAGCCGTGTAACCGCTGGCAGGATTGCACGCATCGGGGTTTGGATCCATATTGGAAGTAGGAAGTTGATGGATTACGAATAACATACGCTATGGATGTCGAAAGAAGCCTCTCGATCCCAAGACCCCTCCCACGGCCTTTTCCCGGTGAAACACCAAGCTCTCCAAACGCCCACAATGCAGCATAACAAGAAAAGTCGAAGAAAGCGTGACGATAGGTCCACACAACAGAAAATGATCAAATTATCCTTCTCCTGACTAAGCTCCCAGCTTCTCCTCCTTGTTCCTGTCTTCCTCACTATAGGCATAGTGAGAACGCTCACGAATCTTCGCGCCGTAAAAGTAGAAGAAGAAAGGAATCGCGCAGCACGCCAACCCGATGAAAGCGATGAGAGAACTGGCCCACTGATCGCCCAAACGCTCGTACATCTGGTTTGTGAACAACACCACAGCCGCTCCCCAGAAGCTGCGCAGGAACGTCTTCGCCGCCAGCGCTGACGCAGCTTGGTGCTGGTACGAATCGACGAGATAGTTGTTGGCTGAGTTGTACAGGAAGATGAAGCCGAAGCCTACAGAGCCACCGCCGAATGCCGGACCTGCCCAGTGGGTCTCGGGCTGACTTGTCCAGGCGAAGATGAAAACGCCAATAGGGATGAACCAGCATGAGCACATCATGGGGATCAGACGTGCTTCCGCTGGTGGGTGGCCGTTGTGCTTCTCTACCAGCTTCATGTAGTGTTTGTTGACGAGTGGTGCGCATGCAGCGGAGAGCAGTACACCGCAGATGAGCGGGATAAACATGAGTCCTGTTGGACCTGCGCTCCAGCCCTTGCCCTTCTGATAGACAATCGGGTATGCGACGAAGAACATGTACAGAAGACCGTACAGAACCGACATGTAGAGCGTGATCAGAAAGACGATGAGCTCACGGAAGAGCAGCTGGAAGGGTCGAAGGAGGAAGAGCTGGAGGCGCTGGCTGAATGGCCGCATGTCGAGATCCTGTTCCGTGACAAACTTGTCATCGCCCGTCTCCTTGCGCATCTTCTTCGCTCTTCTGTCCAGAATCTTAGGCGCGTATGTCTCCGGTACGGTAAAGGTGATGAGGACCCAGACGACAAAGCTGAGGATAAGTTGGATCCAGTAGAGCCAGCGCCATCCACCAGCTTGACTGAGGTAACCTCCAACCAAAGGTCCAACACCAGGGCCGATGAACGGTGCCGCACTGAAAGCGGCCATGGGAACACCTCTCTCCTCGGATCTCCACATGTCCGCTAGTGTTCCACCAACAAGCGTCATAGGGGCCGAGAACGCCACACCAGCAATGAAGCGCGTCACCAGTAACGTTCCAATGTTCTGCGCAACAGCACCAGGAATAGTGAAGATAACAGCCAAAGCAAGCGTAACACCATACACCGGTCTCCTCCCCCAGATCTCAGACGCCGGTGCGAACGCCATAGGTCCAACACCAAACCCAACAACGAAAAGCGTAATAGTCAACAGCGCCACCTCCTCGCTGACCCCAAACTCCGCGCTCACGCCCTCCAGATCCGCGGTGATGACCGCCGAGTTGAACGCAACAACAAAGCAAGTCGCCGCAACACACATGGTACACCACCACTTGTACGCCTTGCTCCAATTCTTCGGATTCTCCTTGTCGTCAATGGTGAAAGTGACCAAATCGTACTTCTCGACTTTGCCTGCGTTGGACCGTACTTCGCGCATCATCTGTCCTGAAATGGTTTCTTGTGTGTATTCTTCGAGGTTGGCATCGTTGGAGAGGGTGCGGGTGGGTAGGTTGACTATGTCTTCGGCTGTTGGCGCGCGGTGGAGGGGAGCGGGCTTTTCGGCATCGAGGGTTGTGGTATCTGAGGATGAGGAGGGTCGGCTGGGGTGTGTTGCGTCGTTAGATGGACTAGCGAAGTCCCGCGTCATGGGGAATTGTATGCCTTCTGTCGCCATGATTGATTTAATCAGACCTCGAGGTCTGCAGTGTGAAGTCGATAATCGGGGTGACGAAGATGTCCAGTAGTTAGGCGTATGCGGCGGAAAGAAGCTTGATATATAGGTAGTAGTCTGTCGATGACTTCAACAGAAGTAAAAGATCAACGACTTTCGTAAGAGTGATTCTAGTTCAAAAGCCTGGTGGCCTGATAATCAAGAAACAAAACACTAAGGGTGTGTTATAACAAACACGCAATAATCGCAACAGTGATGCAATCCAAAAAAGCTGATCATCAACACTTCCAAACCTCAATCCGGGCGCCGGCACACCCATATATATATATACATCTACATACGCACGCACCTCCATTTCCCTATTAAGGCCTTCTGAAATCTTATCTTCGTACGACCACCAAATCTCTGGCAGAAAAAAGTCTCATCGCTCATGACAATCTTCACCCGGAAAACTCTCGGGTCTTGGGTTTCAACGGGTCCATGGAATAGTTCGACGGGAAGGGTCTCTATAGCGCCCGTCCACTAACCCTGATCCGGTAAAGCGTGCTGCAGGTCCATGCATAGAGTTGAAATCCGAGAGATGCCCGACGAAAACAGTGTGATACACCGGTGTACTCGAGAACGAGTCCCAGTCTTTTACGAACGTGCATGGGCGGGTAGGATGTAGGGTAGGTGGGTCTCCGTTGTTTTGCTACTTTTGTAGACGCTGGATACGCGTTGGATGGTGAAGAGGTGGGAACGGGGGTGGGTGGGCTTTCTTATCGGGGGAGGTGAGGCGTTGACGTCATTATGGAAGACGAGGGAAGGAATAGGTGATTGTAGGCATGGGAGACAGACAGAGAGGAAGTTGCTGAGAACATGCCAGGGAAGATGAGAACGGAATTGGAAATTCAGTTAGGGTGGTCGGGCATCAAGATACTTGGGGACAATCAGACTGGTAGAAGATAAGCCGACGACAACTCAGTGAGTACCTTTTTTATCAAATTAAGTGGGTTTTGTGAAATACGGCGTATTTTGAGTTTCCCAATATTGGCCATGACATGCGCGCTTGCTCCAGCCTGCTTTATCGTAGCACTGAGTCTAGATTCGCCGTCATATGTAGTTAAGTAGTCTAAGATATAAGGGTAGACTTTCTTCGCAAAAAAATGCCTTTCTAATGTCTATATTGGCAAAGATCGCACGCTACTCGACGGGTTGAGATTCCAAGGAAAAGAAAAAGGTATACTGGCAGATCTCCACTACTACCCCACGCTCAGTCCACCTTGATAGATCTATAAATCTTAAGGGTGAATAGCCAGCTGGCGAAGAAACCGATGGTGCCTGTTCATTTCGTTAGTTACGCGGTTTACGAACCAGGGGATTAGAGTACCAACTTACCAGTCAGAATGAACACGAGCGAACTCAGCAATGCCGAGTATCCCAGGTACACGACACCACTTGTCCAACTAGTCCAGCTCACATCCTTGATCCAGTAGAGCAAGCAGCTAGCAAACACGTACGCCGCACTCGCACCAGCAGTGAAGAAAGACCTCCACTGCCAGTGATAGTTCTCCGCGCAAAGCAAAAAGTACATCATGAGTACCGTGACCGCCGCCGAGGTAATGATCATGAGTCCAAAGCAGATGAACAGGAAACCGAACATGTAGTAGACCTTTGAGAACCAGATCGAGTTCATGATGAAGTAGAGTTCGACGAAGATGGCGCCAAAGGGAAGTACACCGGCCAGGGCCATGGAAGGAAGAGGTCGCAGGTAGCCTCCCACAGGTGGGATCTGGCGTGGGATCTGGTTTGTTCGCACGGGTGGCTCAATGGCGGCTTGCTTGAATCCGAGCCAGGAACCAGCGACGCTCAACGGGACGGAGATGACGAACCAGATGATGACAACTACGAGCATGGTGGTGAAGGGCACAGCACCGGATGCGCCGCGACCCCAGACGAACAGGTTCATGAGGAAGAAGACGCCAAAGACGATGGCGGGTAGAGCTACCGGGGTATAGAAGAAACACAGTTTCCACGACTCGCCATGGAAGAACTTGTAGGTACGTGCCGCGGCGTAGCCTCCGAAGAAACCGAAGAGCGTGTAGAAAATGATGATGACGGTTCCAAGAGCACCGCGGTTGCTAGGAGAGAGGAAGCCGAGAAGCGCGAATACTGTCATTGATGTTAGCAGGGACCTGACAGGGGATATGTTCTGGCGACTTACCTATAGTCAACGCTGTCATGGCAAAGAGCTGAGCTCCGTTGCCAATCAAAACCGACAGAAGCAGCGGGTTCTTCGGTGGCCTGAATACATCGCCGTGTACGAGTTTCCAGCCAGAGTCATCCGCTGTATCATCGCCGTCGCCGCTTTCCCCAAAGTCCTCGAGCGCAAACTGATCCAGACGGTTGTAACGCGCGATGTCCTTCTTGAGGGTGCGCACGAGAATGGTGCTGACCATTATGACGAGGAAGACGACGATGACGGCCGAATTGATGAGAGAGAACCAGTGGATCTTGGGATCGTATACGTGTAGGTACTTGTCCCATCGGGTCGCAAACGGAGTCGGACTTGGTCGCCAGTAAACGCCGTACGTGAAGACGACCAGGTTATCATCAGCCTCGCCCTCTTTCAGAATGACCGGTGTCTGTCCATTGCACGTAGCCCCATCGTCGCCCTGCCTCTTCGATTCTGCCACCGAGTATGGGTCTACCAACACACCAACGACACGGAAGTTCCCCGGCGATGCTTCGTGGTAGTCGATGACAATGTCGTAGTGGTTGTTGAGCATGGGCTGGTCCTCGTCTACAAGACCCAGCGCGAAGCCTGGTTGATAGAAGGTCTGGTCTGAGCCCGGCTCCCTAAGTGATTGTGCTGCAGGCAGCCCATCAATCAGCCAGTTGAGGTCGTAGCCCTGGTATATCCTGCTGTTGACAAACGCCGCGTCCTTGCCCGGATATGGCGCCTCACAGAGCAGTTTACACGACTCGTTCATGCCCATCTTCAGCTCAAACGGACTCGTCTGTATCCGGTCGCCAAACAGTATGCTTCCCAAGCTCTCACGAATTTCTTTGGGGCCATCTTTTGGACGGCAAAAGTGGAAGGGCGGATGGTAGTAGTCGAAGGAGAAGACGGATCGTAGCTTGGGGTCGTTCTGCGAATCGGCGGGTGTCAGGCGATTGACGTATAACGGAACTGCGTCGCCGGTCTTGTACGAAGTTGGCGCGGTGCCTGGGAAGTAAAAGGCCGACGCTGGTGAGGGTGCAATGGCTAGCAGGGCTGCCAGCGCGGCGCTGCATGTTGATATCGCGGATCGCGGCATTGTGTAGGTGTGTCTGCCTATATAAACGAGGCGCGTGAAAGTGGCTTTAATACGTGGTGGAGCCCACGGGCCGGCGTCAGCTTGAGATGCTGGGCGGAATGCCGAAACGTAGCGTCGCAGCGCAAACGTCGCCAGAAGTCGACAGCGGAGGAGAAAATGATGGCGTATTATTAGACAGGTAATCTGTCCATAGCGTGCAGCCGGCGATGGTACGAAAGCAAGGCGGCACGGTGCTAGCAATGTGTTGTTCTCAAGCTACCTGTCCAAAGCTCCCTGAAGGCCGCCTAAGAAAGCGTCCCGCAAGGTTGCGTCACGTCAGAACACAGACCCGACATGCCATGCAGACGCCCAATTACAAGTTTGTACCAAAGAAACCCCAAAATAGGCTTTCCTGGGTGAGGCTTACAGTCAGACCAACGTGCAGAATCAAGGAAGTTTGAAATTGTTGTTGCATTCTTGACCGCGAAAACGAAATGCGCACTTTGTATACATCATTCATGATGTCCGGTACGCCAAGGCGAGGTCATCCACCCTAACAGCAAGGGAATAATGGTATGCCAATCCCACAAATGCGCTGTGATATCGACTATAACGAAACAAGCAGAAAATGACACTGGGTATCGACCCTCTTCCTCACACAAGACCATCGTACAGAGACAAGGCGGAAACGATAGTCTCGTCGCGCTTCGAGCCCTCCTTGAACTCAGCCATGTCTAAGCTGCCGTTCTCGTCCTTGTCCATCATGCGGAAGATCTTCTTAACGCGCTTCTCGGGGGTGTCTTCGTCTTCCGGGAGCTTAACCATGGAGCCGACCTGCACATGTCAGTAATGAAGGCGCATCCTTGGGCGTGACTACGTACCATTTTGTAAATGGCTTCTACGATTGCCAGCATCTCCTCGTAGCTGATCTTGCCGTCTCCGTCAATGTCGTACAGCTGGAACGCCCAGTCTAGCTTGTCCTCCATCTTGCCGCGACTCGTGACGCTCAATGCGCAGATGAACTCCTTGAAGTCGATTGTGCCGGACTTGTCTGCATCGAAGACATTGAAGACGTAATCTGCAAATGACGACGGATCCCCGAACGGAAAGAACTGCTTATAGATCTTTTGGAACTCCTCCTTGGTGAGCATGCCCGATGGACAGTCCTTCAGGAAGCCTGTATGTACTCAGTCACAGTCCGAACCTGTTGCCCCACTGCGTGCGCACCTTTGTACCATTGCTGTAGCTCTTTCTTGTCGAAGTGTGTCGCTTTCTGGAGGTCGGCCAGCTCTTGCTGTGATAGTTTACTCTGGCTATAGCGATGTACAATCAGCTGTTGGTTCTGCAATTCCAAGCACTTGATTCCGCAGCGCGACCCCAATTCGTCTTCCAACTCGCGTATGGCATTCGCCAAGGCGATTTCCCGCATATCCTTGTAGTGCGCATAGCCGGACTCGTCATGACGGGGTACGTCGCTGTGATGGCGGCGCGCGAACCGCAGAGGCGGGTGGTTGTGCTCCAGCAGCGGGATTCCGTGCGCCTGTGATGGGAGGTGAGGCAGCGGTGCTGTATGCGCGGGCTTCTTGTAGTCGTGGATGTCGAGCTCTTGGAACATGCTTGTGCCGTGGGCGATCGGGTGTGCGGGCAAGCGGGGGGTATCTGCGCCTGAGTGAAGGGTCCATAGCGAGGTCCGGTCCAACGTGTGGCCTTCACTCGACGACGCGCGTGTCCGCGGTGAAGGGCAGGAATCTCCAAACGTCGGGATGGTAGGCGCGATGGCCCCGCATTACAAAGCAGCAAGGAAAGAGAACTTACGATTTACCCATGGCTGCTAGATGTGCGGAATATCGTGCGTCGAGGCTTTCGGGGTGCACCGAATTATGTAGGAAGGAAAGGCAGGCAGTCGGGGGAATTGGTAGGCGTTGGAAGGCGGAGCAGCAATCAGAGTGGTAGCTGGGTGCAAGTGGCGGGCCAATCGACGGCGGGGTGCTCTTCTGGGAGACGGAGGCGCAGCACGCTGGAAGAACCGTGGGAGGCGGATGTGGAGGGCGATAGGAGCGAGACTAGGACTATGGTGTAGACAGGCAGAGGCAGGGGAGCGGAGGATATATGCTGCAGGCTGGTCGTCGTGACAGCTCGGCTTCCAGCCCGTCGACGCAAATAGCGGCCACGCCGAGAGGGCCCTGGCAGCCCTGGCCGCTTCGTCATGTCCCGCTTTCGCATGCGTCGAAGGCGGGCAACCCCGCGAGTCTAGCAAAAGCGCCCGTGGATGATTCGCGCTTGAAGGCCCGGTTTCACGACTGTAATGTGAATACCGCGCTGCACTCGCTGGCCATTCAGCTCCGGCCGTCTGGCGCGCAACCTGCATACGACCCCGTCGCCCACCGCGCATGCCTCTTCACGTCACGTGTATGCGCGTGCTCCACCCGATCCACGTTCGCTGACCCTGCGCTGTTCCCTTGTCGACGGCACAGCTGGTCCCCACCACGCAACCATGGAAGACGTCCTGAACGAACAGTTCGAACGCGTCGAGAAGGCCTTGACAACCTTGGTCGACTCAATCGCTGCCTACAACCCGGCCACGCAAGCTGCCGTCGATCTGCTAGCTGCTGACGACGAGCTCAGTCAAGGCCTGGACCAACGTACGCGAACATCCACGTCTGCTGACATTGACGACTGACGCACTGCAGTCGCCAAACACCAGGCAAATCACATCCGCATCCAAAACCTCCGCGCAGAAGCCGATGCGCTCGAAGACCAGCTCAAGACATCCGTCAAGAAGCTCGCAGAACTGCGCCATGAGCTCTTTGACACGACCGTGACTACGTTCCCCGAAGACTCGCGCGCCGTCCCATTCGACGAACTCCTACAATACGCGACCAACATTTCCCGACACACCGTCCCGCCAACATACCGTGAACCCGTACCTGCCGCAGACAAAGAGAAAGATGACGATGAAGTCGCCTCAGGCGGTGTTCCTACCAATGGCCTCAATACACCTGCTCTCGCACCAGAGACAGTAGCACCAGCAAGTGAAGCTGCGCAAGGGCAGAAGGAAGGCAAAGATGCCACTGGCCCTGCGCTCGAAATCACCCCAGAGGAAGAAGAATGGCTGAAGAAGCTCAAGGCTAGCAACCTGCCATGGTACCCGTGGCCCAGCAACGAGAAGATCCGCGCGGGCGCTCTATTCAGTCTCCAGTACTGGCGTGAGGTATGTTTGGCACGTCCAAGATTCATACGAGACTCACACTAACTCCTATCTCCTTGTGTAGAAGGGCAAAAACCTAGACGAGTTCAATATAACTGCACATTTGGACGCGGCTAGGGAGAAGGCGTTGCAAGAGCAGGGACAGAGCGAGGCGGCTGCACAGGACGCGCCTGCAAAAGACATGGCACAGTCTCCGAGCAGACCAGCTCAAGAACAGGCTCCACCTCCAACGACATACCGTCCAAAGCCAATCGGAGTCTTCGAAGGCTTGGATGAGGATGATGACTGATCATTTTCAAGGGATGGACTTGATTTGTAAATGCCGAACATACGTAGAGCAGTTCAACTCAATACTCAGCCAGTCACTTCCAACGGTGATGGCTATGATCTCTTCTCGGTTGCACGCCAACGTAGGGAAAATCTGAACACCCTGGAGCCCACGTTGACGTTGGATCACCTGCTTTGCAAGTTTCGGGTATGGTGTAGTCTGCAGACCTATTCAAGTTTTCTCTTGTATGAGGTGGTTGTGTGATACTGTGCAGCGCATGATGACATGACTAAACATTCGTATCCGATTTCTAGGTGACTCAAGTAGAATCATTCGCATCATAGAAATGATGCAGAGTCCGCTAAATGCAATGAATTTCCCATGAGTATGCAGATGGAGCTCGCATGCTTCCGACGTCATGCAGTTCAAGTGGATTTCGCGTTGGCTGGACCCTGTCCAACTAGTCCATCTTCGGTTAGCATCCAAATTTTCCTAGAGCCGTGCTCGACTTTTCGCGGAAGTCGCGTCGCGACAACATCCAATACACTCTCCAGGAAATCAGTAAAAGATGGGCAGCAAGTTACCCAAGAGGGAGCGCGAGGTGGATCAAAGCGAGAAAGTTGACGAAGCTCCGGCGAAGCGGCGCAGAGAAAGTAATTCGGACAAGGTGAAGCTCTCTAAGCTTTACGCAGACCTGGCAGCCGAAGAAGACGATGTCCGTCTTGAAGCCGCCAAACAGATCATCGTCAAATTCTCGCCCGAAAACAAGCCAGAGCCCAAAGATGTGGAGGACGCGTTAGTACGCCTGATCAAAGGTCTTTGCAGTCAGCGCAAAGCAGCCAGGGTCGGATTCTCGCTCACGCTCACCGAATTATTGCGACAACTATTTGCAGTAAAGCAGGAGTCTATCGAAGGTTCGCAGCTTGATGTGGCGGCTGTCATCAAGATGGTAGAGGAGAAGACCAAAGCCAAGGGCAACGTTCCAGGAAAGGTAGGAACATCGGCGCGCTAGATGTCGCAATGCTAACAAGTACAGGAAAAACGGGATCATACCATCGGAAAGCTCTTTGGGTTCAAGGCCATCATGCAATCATCGATACTTATCGAACCGGAACTTTCGCTGGATGCATGGAACAAGCTCTTGGACAATGTTTATCGAATGGCGCGCGACATTCCCTGGCTCCGAGAAGAATGCGGCATGGTCCTCGTCGAAGCAGTGAGGAGCTTGAAAGGCCAATCGCAGTACCAAAAATGTGTCGAAGAGATACTCGAACGCCTCAACACGTTCAAGCTCGTTTCTACGCCTGAAGGCGTAGCTGTGTGGCTCACCGTTCAAGCAAGTTATCCAGCGGCATTGCCTGAAAGCGTTTGGCACGACAAGGATCCTCTGGCCAAGAAGGAACGCTCGCGACTTGCTAAGATTCTGAAGGAGGACTTCAACAAGAACGAATCGGAAGATAGCGAAGAAAAAACCGTCAAGACCGGAACCACGAACTCAAACCCGTCTTTCGCCTGGGACTTGGTCTTTGCCGAGATCTTGCGAAG